TCTATCTCTCTCTAGGTCCGAACCCTTTGCATGGGTGCCCCGGGGGGTTTATATAGGCCTACCCCCCGGGGGTACAATAGTAATCCGGCTGGGCACGGGTCCCAGCCGTCTGTCCCTCAGGCCGCCGTCCTTCCCGCCGGCTTATGGGGCCCGCCGACTGGCGGGTCCCGCGGACAGGCTTGATACTGTAGCGGCACTCCTGATGACGCAGGCTTGGTCATCGGGTCGTGGCAACAGTGCCGTCGTCTATCGGGCGATCACTGTCGCCATTCCCCATCTTATCTCTACTCCTAATGGACGAATTGGTTGAATAGTCCCCCCCACTTTCAATCGGTTTATTTTCAACCAGTTTATTTTCAACCGGTTTTTCTTCGTCCCACCTCCCATCAGCCCCTCCCACCGGTTTTTCTCTTTTCTCGTCTGACCGGCAATACCCAACGTATTTATGGTAATCAATCATAATTAATCCACGTATAGTAATAAATCAATCCAGGTATGGTAAGGTCATAACTCAGGAAATTTTGAATATGGCAATTATATGGTAATAAATTTAAATTACCCCAAAGGCTATCAATCTAGATATGGTAAGGCCATAACTCGGGAAATATCGAATATGGTAATAAATTTAAATTACCACCAGGTATGGTAAGGCTATCCACGTATAGTAATAAATCATATAGTAATAAATCATAATTAATCCACGTATAGTAATAAATCAATCCAGGTATGGTAAGGTCATAACTCAGGAAATTTTGAATATGGTAATAAATTTAAATTACCCCAAAGGCTATCAATCCAGGTATGGTAAGGCCATAAATCGGGAAATATCGAATATGGTAATAAATTTAAATTACCCCAAAGGCTATCAATCCAGGTATGGTAAGGCCATAACTCGGGAAATATCGAATATGGTAATAAATTTAAATTACCACTAGGTATGGTAAGGCTATCCACGTATAGTAATAAATCATATAGTAATAAATCATAATTAATCCACGTATAGTAATAAATCAATCCAGGTATGGTAAGGTCATAACTCAGGAAATTTTGAATATGGTAATTATATGGTAATAAATTTAAATTACCCCAAAGGCTATCAATCCAGGTATGGTAAGGCCATAACTCGGGAAATATCGAATATGGTAATAAATTTAAATTACCACCAGGTATGGTAAGGCTATCGATCCAGGTATGGCACGCCCTCACCTGATCACCTATCACAATCTCCAGCCCCACGCACGCACCAAAGAACCCACCCGGCACCAAACGCAGCTCCTCTCGACCCCCTCGAGTAAACGCCGCCACCGTCGTGCGATCTTCCTGACACAGACGCCGTCGCCGCCTCCTTCCCACCTATGGCGTCCCCCACGTCCATGGTGACGGCGCTCGCGTCCTACACTGACCCTCCGCCTCATATAGGTTGGTCGTTGATGGAGTGGGATGTGCCGCTGCGGTTTGGGGAGGTGCAATCACGATCTGGTTGGGATCTCAGTGTGGACTCGTTCTCTACGATGAAGGATGGCGCTGCCTCCCTGGCAAATGGGATCGGAGGAAGGGGCTCTACGTCGTGAATGTCGGCGAGGCAGCGGCCGAAGGCGAGCCCGACGGTGAGCACGGGTGTTCGTCCCATGAAATAGGCGGCCACGGAGGGCGGATCTGAGGCCACCCCAATCGCCGGTGGCCCTTCCTCCCATCGCTCATCGCCTCCGTTCTCTCTCTCCTCTAAATCTTTGTCGCCCCTGCCTGATTCTGGCCGACGCCATCCGGCTCTCGCATCGACCACCACCAGCACGGCTGCGGACGAGGCGCAACCGCAGACGCCGCCGCCGCCATCCTAGAGAGGACAGTGGTGGTGATTGGCTGGGTGGTGTCGCTGCCTTGGGAAGAGACGAAGTGATGGTAAAAGTAAGCAGGATCCGATGATTCTTCCGTAGGGATAGCCAAAGTCAAGATGTCGACTACAGACTTGCAGTGAACCTGGATGCGGCAAGCCTGATTTGTGGATCGATGGCGGGTCTTGACTTTGTTAGGCCGGGATTGGATGGTTGCGGAGGGTGGTGTGCTTGATTGGGTTCCCATGGAAGAATGTGGCCTCCTCGTGGATCTGGTCATGCCCATCCTAGAGAACATTGTGTCCCTAGCTCCCTCGAGGAGCAAGGACAGTGCAAGCGGCAGCAGGGGGTAGGGGTAGATGTGGGGAGGGATGTCGGCGGCTGCTCGAGGTCATCAAGATGAAACCCTTGACGTCCCATCTTTATCAATGGAAGTGGAAGAGCACAAAGTCGAGATTGGATAGGAGTTTGAGTTCTTTTTGGCACCGATCGGTTCCCCACTTTAGAGATGTATTTTTTTGCGTGCGAGCAAACAGTGGGTTGATTCTAAAAGAGATAGGCACTTTTCAACAGAAGTGCATGACGGACCAAAAATATGACCTCATTTTATTTGTTTGATACATATCGTATTATTCGTTGTTGTTCGTTCGGTGAAATTTCCTAATATTTGATTGTTGTGTTTCTAATTAGAGCACCCCATAATCACCCAATATGAGGGGATGATAAATGAAAGATACTGATTATAAATTTTAAAGAGCCCGTGGCAACGCACGGGCGTTATACTAGTCTGGTTAATGGCTCGTGGGGCCCTGGGAGGAGTCGGCCGACTCCAGGGAGGCCGACTCCCACAGGTCCGTCTTCGGGTTGCCCAGGCCGCCTTCGGCCCACCCACTGACAGGCGGCCCCGCCGCCTTCGGGTCGTACAGGCCGGCGTCGTGGGCACAGTGTACTGCGCACTGTGGCTGAGATCAGGGCAGGCATGGCAACAGTGCCGCATCTAGCCGGAGATCTTCCAGCGATACGGCTCACTGTAGCCATGTCGGCCCTTCGTAAGCAAGAGGGGGAAACGGCCATGCCGTGACCGTACCCCGCATCGTACTTTAAGATGGGGGAGGAGTCATGGGCCGACTCTCCATAGTCGGCCTCTCTGGAGGTCGCCAGCTTGGAGCCGGCTTTTCTGGGAGTCGCCGTCTGGGACTCGGCATATCTTGGAGTCGCTCCTGGGACTCGGCCTGAGGGGCGCGACCTGCCCCGATGTCTTGAAATGTCCTGGGGCTCGGGTTAGCCTACCCGTGGCCCATTACTCCGACAGTGTTGGTCCATCACCACCTCAATAGTCAGCGGCCGTTGTTTCGTGGCTCCATTCCGGACCACCTTCCGGCGTTGAATCGCAACCAAGAGAGCGGGCATCTCCTTCTTTGGAAGGACTACTTTGATACAACAAATCCGTTGTTCAAACATCAGAAATTCCACTGCCGTTTCCGTATGAGTAGACATCTTTTCAACTGTATTAGAGAGGGGGTGGTCGGCTATGATGACTGCTTCGAGTGCAAAGAGGATGCCGTTGGAAAGATTGGTTTCTCCTCTTATCAGAAATGCACTGCGCAATCCGAATGCTTGCATACGGAGTGCCCGATGATCTCATTGATGAGTACGTCCGTATGAGCGAGTCTACATGCCTAGAGTCCATGTATAAGTTCTGCAAGGCTGTTATTGTTGTGTTTGGCCCTGAGTACTTGAGAGAGCCGACTCTTGAAGATACATCCCGTTTGTTGGCGATGAATGCCAGCAGGGGCTTCACAGGGATGCTTGATAGCATAGACTATATGCACTGGGAGTGGAAGACGTGTCCTTCTGCTTGGCAATGGCAGTATAGGTCCATGTCAGGGCTTGCACTGGCATACTAGAGATCATGGCGTCTCAAGATCTCTGGATCTGGCACTCTTTCTTTGGCATGGCCGGATCACACAATGATATCAACGTGCTTCAGCGCTCGCCGGTGTTTGCTAGGCTTGCCGAAGGCAACAGCCCACCGGTGAACTTTACTGTCAACGGCCACAACTACGACAAAGAATACTACCTGGGTGACGGTATCTATCCTCAGTGGACCACTATTGTCAAAACAATCCCCAACCCTGTCGGACAGAAGAGGAAAAGATTTGCCCAAGAGCAAGAGAGTGCTAAGAAGGATGCCGAGCGTGCCTTTGGTGTTTTGCAATCTCGATGAGGCATCGTTCGGTATCCTGCTAATACCTGGAGCACACAGAAACTGTATGAGGTGATGACTGCTTGTGTGATCATGCACAATATGATTGTAGAAGATGAGCGCCCGGAACGTCCGTACGATCAAGGGTTTCAGTTTCGGGGTGAGAATGTTGTGCTTGAGCATGGAGGAGCGGCAATGTTTGAAGAGTTCACCCAATTCCATCGTGACATGCGTGATTGGAAAACTCACATGCAACTGCAAAATGATTTGGTTAAGCATATGTAGGCTCATGTTGGCAACCAACATATGTATATTCTTTATTTGGCTTGCAAAAATGTGTGAGACATTTTTACTTGTATTCAACTTGTAAAACTATGCTATTTTATTCGGTTGAAACTATGTTTATTTGACTATATCCATATGTTTGAATGCAAAAGCAATGCAAAAATGAGCTATTTTGTTGAGTAGGGCGGCCAACCGGCTGCCAATCCAAATCTAATACAGGGCGGGCCCCGGGTGGGCGGCCGATCAATACGAACAAAAAAGCGGACAAAACCGCCGTTCGTTTGGATCGACCCTATGAAGTTGCTCTCATAGCACAGGAAACTGATCGCTTTTCCTTTTCTTGGGATTTTGTGCTGAAACAGTCCCGGGCTTCTCGACAAGCAACCAAACCAGTGACACCACCACCACCACCCACCCTGCCTCGTGGCATGTATAAAAGCCTCCGCAACGCAACGACAAACCGGCGATCTCCCAACCACCCCTCTACCTCTTCTGTCGCTTCTTCCCTCCACCGCGGCGCCGCCCGCCACGCCACCCGCGTATCCATCCACCACCGTTCCCGCGATGGCCGCCGGCATACTCAACACCCAGCCCTGCCTCTGCTAACCACGGATGATACACGTAGCTCCAGTTAATAACTTCCTGCCGCTCGCCTCGTCTGGCCGGAGGGAGAGGAGATGGACGCCGGCGTGGGTCTCCGGCCGAGGCCCGGTACTGCATGGGCCAAACGACGGAAGCCGCAGGGATTCCCCCCGGCGACAGTGCCGGCGGTGAGGCTCGACCAGAATCCGGCGCGGCGGCCGCTGGTCCTGCGCACCGACGCGGGGAGCCGGAGCACCGATCCCATCCGTGGCGCCAGCCTCAAGGCCCTGTGCTGCCACAAATCGGCAGGTAACCAACCAACCGGTCGTGCTCCTTCTGTCGCATGTCAACTAGTAGGACAATTTCTGCCGCCAACTCGGTGCAACAAAGATTAATATTAGTGCTAGTACACCGGATAAGATGACATTGCCATGTCAATGACGACTCATTGCCACTCATTGCCACGCTTTGTTTAATTAGCGTTCAAGTGGACCATGATGATCTCATCTGCGTGTCGGCCCGTTCCTTTGATCTTTACTTGTCAGCTACCCCTCTGCATAGGGTGTGCGTGGGCTTCTAGGTTGGTAATTAAGCACGCCAGCCTGAGATTGTACGTACCTTTTTTCTGCTTCAGGAAACACCCGAGTAACTAACGTTTGGTACGGCTGTAATTTTTTTCCAGTTTTGGTCTTAAGGGGTGAGTTGTGTGGGAAGATAACTGTACCAAATAATGGCCTTTGTTGCATGGCACGCTTCAGACATGAGAATCATCGAAGGAGCAGACAGAAAGTTAGGACGATTCCGTGCGGATTTCCTAGAGGATCCGCTAATAGTGGTGCAATCAGCAATATTAGTTGGGGACCTCGGAAGCTTTTCGTTCCGCATCAGTCACCAGCTGCAAGTAGCCATTGAAATGGACATAAACCTAATCACAGTCACATCAAACAGCCATGAGCTATTTAGATTTTAGTGCCTACATATTTCTGAAAAATTAAGGGATGTATCATGACACTCCAAAGGAATATCATGGATCGCAAATAAGTCCGCAAAGATTGAGTAATCTCTGCAGTATGCTACCCAGGACAAACCATAGAAGTCAAAGAGAGTGCTATCGAGGATGCTATCGAATGATTGTGATCTGACATGCATGCACGATCGCAGGTACTGAGAAAGCCCACTATTCTGCTGATGAGGCTCTCGTACTAAAGGTTAGTAGATAATGCAATGGTGTTGGCCTTTGCAAGTTTACATGGAGAAATTCACACAGTTCATCAACTAACTGCATATTTGTGTTGATATGACTGACCTCCATGTTAACTGCAGCAAAAAGCAGAGGACGTGCTCCCTTACCTGAATGACCGCTGTGTTTATCTAGTTGGTTAGTTCTTACCCCCCACATCAGCTCTATAATTTGAATGGATCCCTTCATTATGCATTGCCTATCTAATATGTGTATGCATTTATATGTAGGAATGATGGGTTCCGGCAAAACTACAGTTGGGAAGATAATAGCTGAAGTACTAGGCTATTCATTCTTTGACAGGTTTGAATTTCTCTTCGATCTGCAGCAACTGCTAAAAGCCAACCAAGATGTTCTTTGAACTAACTTTTGAGTGACCACGGTTTAATAACTTTAGCGGTGTTCTCCCTTCACAGTGATAAGCTGGTTGAGCAGTCTGTTGGCATACCGTCGGTGGCTGAGATTTTTCAGGTCCACAGTGAAGCATTCTTCAGAGATAACGAGGTGTGCGCTTATTTTTCTTAGAGATAATAGCATATAACTCTATTTCTTTCTATCGAGGACTGGAAAATTACTCAAAAATCCTACAGGCAGTTCTTTTTATTCTCTTGCGTGATGTAGTTTGCCATCGTCCACCTTAAATATTCATGCTGTCATATAGTAGTGGTCTACAATACTAATCTCGTCTAACCTTTAATCAAGCTTTCTGACATTCTCTTATTTCATTCGACTTCTCAAGAGTGAGGTACTAAGGGATTTGTCGTCAATGCACCGATTAATTGTTGCAACAGGAGGTGGTGCGGTGATACGACCAATCAATTGGTACTGGAAGTGATAAACTAGCTCGAGTTGCTCTTCCAAGGCAAAGCTTACTAAGTTTTTGGCGTGAAATTTGCAGGAGTTATATGAAGAAAGGACTCACTATTTGGTTAGATGTTCCATTGGACGCCCTTGCAAGAAGGATTGCTGCGGTTGGTACTGCGTCACGACCCCTCCTGCATCAGGAATCTGGTGATCCTTATGCAAAGGTAGTTTGCTACTGATGCTCTTATTTATTTCTGCAATTTGAGTTTGGAATGCAGACAGAGGTAATGATTTTTTGTTTTCCCACGCAGGCCTATGCCAAACTTACAGCACTTTTTGAACAAAGAATGGATTCATATGCTAATGCTGATGCCCGAGTTTCCCTTGAAAGTATGTTTCCTAACGAGTTAGATAACACCATTATACGTAATTCTTGTTTCATTCTAGTACTCTGTACTGCTACAAAGGCCTACATGGTCCACCAATATGATGTTTTTTGCTCGCGTTCAGTTTTTACACCATTGCTGACTGTAAATACCATTATCCATAATGCAGATATTGCATTCAAACAAGGACATAATGATGTGAATGTACTTACACCAAGTGCCATCGCTATTGAGGTATTTGAGTATTTCTGACTTGGTTAAGATGATCTTTTGAACCCTGCCTGACTGGGAATTCTACCTTCCGTTCTTGCAGGCATTGCTAAAGATGGAGAGCTTTCTTACTGAGAAGGCCATGGTCAGAAACTGACCAGATCTCGGTGGTTACCAAGAAAGATGACAACCAACGGTTCTTGGTTGCCGTGATGTACATACCTTTGCATAAGACATTCTTCTGATATAGCCAGAGCTATGACAGAGGATAACTTGGGTTTTTACTTGAGTGAACTATATGTGAATAGCTCTAAATTAAGACAATGTTTGTCTTGTCTTTATCTTGCTGCGATTTGATATATGGGATTTGGGAGTAAATAGCTATATCATCGTTAAGTGATATCCCTTGTACATTTTGAAACAACCACAATTTACATCAATATATTACTTTGAGGCAAAGTGCAGTTCTCGAAAATTTTATAATAGCATAGATCTTAACACAAGTATGTACGTTACAGCATGGTAAGGCTGCCTCTTTTTCTTTCGAGATATGTACATGTTCTCTCAACAAAGATGTACAGGGAAAGTATTATCTCCAAAATAATCATGGCTAAGCCAATAGTTAGATCTGACCGATTTGATAATGCTACTGTACTGGAAACAAATCTCCCTATACATCTAGCGTATAGCTAAACAGTTAAAAGGAAAACATTGCAGGAAGCTGAGATTCAAAACCTGTACATGTAGGCTTTAACTTCATATGAACATTCTTCTGATGGTTCTTGCAACAGCACGAGATAAAACAAGATTAGTTAAATCCGCAGGCAGGAGGAGAAACTGCTGTTGGGACTCTGGTGAAAGCTGCATTGGAGGAGTATGTGCAAAAATGAGTTCGTGGAGCTCTGGATTTATAAATACACGCCACATAAATTTTGATACATAATCTCATTCAACCCGTATGTTCCTTCTTACCTCAGGAACGACAGAAAGAACTGGCAGAAACTCTGGAAAAGACCTCATCTCATTTAACACAAGAGACATATCATCTGCGCCATCATCTCCTTTCTCCCCAGTGCTTTCATATCCAGAAGCCTGCAAAACTTGAATGATGAATGCAGGCTACACACATGTGTTGCATCTTGCAATGTCAATAGATCAGCTGGATTTACACGCATCAGAGATGAAGTGCTTTAGCCCATTTTAATATAAAAACCAATGTGTAATCTGAGTATTAGTTTGACACATTGTAGTTAGTTTCAGCTCAAAGAGAACAATTTCACAGATAAACCATTGCAGCACATCACTTAATGTGATTACTGAATCTAATTAGCATGTCGCAAATATAAGCTCCAGACTCTATCTTTTCAGTTAAGTTCAGAATTCATTTCTTTCTGAAAAGGTTCTTTTATCATCATCAGCTTCCTTAGTTATGTAACATACTCTGCTATAAGCTGCATTTTGTGCATTCCATTGACACATAGTGAGAAGTCACGACATTCGAGAAGGCATCCAAGACTACTCTACATAGATCATCATGCTCAGTCGCTCATGAATGTTGAAAGTTTTACTTACCCGTGATGAGTTTTCCTTCTGAGGAGTCTTAGCTACAAGTAGGAGAAGGCGGTAGAGGTTTCTCAAGTTAGTGGCCTCCTCGTTGTTCAGTGATGGTGATGGGGATGGTGCAAATGGCAATCTTGAGGCTGCAGCGGACGTTACAGAACTTAATGTGGCCACTCCAAGTGCATCTAGTCCCTGCAAATTACAGAACTTAATGTGGCTACTCCAAGTGCATCTAGTCCCTTTACCTTTGAATAAAAGGTGTCACTTCGTTTCCAGCATTTCTCAAAAGAGAAATATCATTTCAAGCAAAAATGCATGACAGCAGAGAGAATTCCTTATCTACTAAATAAAACAAAATTAAACATGGAATCACAGGAAGATGACCCACATGAAGTACATCAAAATTTTATATTATATGGAGCCAAATTGCATTTATGCCTTAATTGCAAAGCTACATAACAATTTGTGGAATTTCTTCGCACAAAAATTCAAATTCAAAAGCAAAAAATATATTGTCTGATAGCTATTTCATCAGTTGACACATAAATTCACATGAAGCCAACAGGGCAATGGAAAGTGCACATATAACAAGCTAACTGACCTTAGCAATCTCCTGAAGAAGTAAATCCTTCACAAAGGCACCCTGGAAAGAGTTCAGACTTGGCTAATTATCTGACTGAGTTCGATACTATCAAATAACTACCAATCTATCTCAGTTTTACCTGTTCAGTGAGTGTAAATGACAGCACTTGTTTAATTGCAAATCTTGAACTATCACTTTCATCTTGTTGAGTTCTGACCAAGGTCTGCTCTGTTCTTGCCCGGAGCGACTGTAAGAAGAAAACAAAAACAGTGATGTACCAAGAAGGTAAGAATAAAGTACATAAAACCAGAAAAGTCATACTTCCCACGACCCAACAGTTTGACAAAACTGGCAGATTTCTACCACTTTACAGAATTTAACAGAAGCAATCATCTAGAATCATATCAGGTATGGAGTGGTAGACGTCAAGACAAGAGCCTCAAGTATGGAGTGGTAGATGTCAAGAGGCCTGGGGACCAGATTATCCTGGTCAAGCTGGTAGTTGGGGACTTAGTTCTCAATGTTATCAGCGTGTATTACTCGCAAGTAGGCCACAATGAGAACACCAAGAGGGGGTTCTGGGAAGGCCTGGAGGACATGGTTAGGAGTGTGTCTATTGGCGAAAAGCTCTTCATAGGAGGAGACCTCAATGGCCACGTGGGTACATCTAACACAGGTTTTGAAGGGGTGCATGGGGGCTTTCGCTATGGCATCAGGAATCAAGAAGATGTCTTAAGCTTTGCTCTAGCCTACGACATGATCGTAGCTAACACCCTCTTTAAAAAGAGATAATCGCATCTAGTGACTTTTAGTAGTGGTCAACACTCTAGCCAGATCAGACAGTTAGAGCTATGGAGACAAACCTTGGAATCGAAAGGTTTTAGGCTTAGTAGAACTAAAACCGAGTACATGGGGTGTGGTTCATTACTATTAGGCACGAGGGGGAGGAGGTTACCCTTGATGGGCAGAAGTATACCTTTCAATATTTGGGGTCTATGTTTTTAAAGCGTCCCTAAGGCGACGCCTAGGCGTCGAAGCGCTCCCCCTCCGCTTTGGAAAATCGACCGCTTTGGGCGCCTAGGCCTCCAAAGCGCCCGCCTAGGCGTCGCCTAGGCACCAAAGCGCCCCCCCCCCCTCCCTAAGGCGGTAAGGCGTCGCCTTAAAAACATAGTTTGGGGTCAATGCTGCAGAAGGATGGTGATATCGATGAAGATGTGAGAAAGCCGGATGGATGAAGTGGCGCCAAGCTTCGGCATTCTTTGTGACAAGAGTGCCAAAAGCTAAAAGGCAGGTTCTATAGGACGGCGATTCGACCCACAATGTTGTATGACGCTGAGTGTTGGCTGGCTAAAAGGTGACGTGTGCAAAGGTGCGCATGTTGAGATAGATGTGTGGCCGCACAAGGAAGGATCAGGTCCGGAATGATGATATACGGGATAGAGCTGGGGTAGCACCGATTGAAGAGAACCTTGTCCAACATCGTCTCCGAAAGCTCCAATGCATAGCGGGCGGCTAAAACGTGCTTATATAATGTCAAGAGAGGTTGGGGTAGACCAAACTTGACATGGGAGGAGTCCGTAAAGAGAGATCTCAAGGACTGGAATATCACCAAAGAACTAGCCATGGACAAGGGTGCGTGGAAACTAGCTATCCATGTGTCAGAACCATGAGTTGGTTGCGAGATCTTTTGAGTTTCAGCTCTAGCCTACCTCAACTTGTTTGGGACTAAAGGCTTTGTTGTTGTTGTAGTCATATCTAGAATCGGTGGCAAGTCGGCACAAGTGTATGCCAAATGGTTAACAACTCGGTGAAAAGAATTTTGAAATTTAATTATAAACCACCATTTGACCATAAGCCAGCAAGAACCAACTGGCTGGTTCCCAAGATGAATATGCTAGAAAGTTGTGTTGCTTTCACATGTCTCAAAGAGACCTTACATCAAATTTCAAATAATGAACAGTTATTCATGTGAGGACAAATAAAACCATCAACATATGCATATATCTGTGAGGAAATAAACCAACCTCGGTTAACAAAGACTCCAAACGGTCAATCTGGAAAGTGCCATCCTGCAATACATTTTGGTTAAAGAAGACATAAGATGTTCGCTATAACTGGCAGAAGTTGCAGTAGACAAAAAATGAACCTGCAACAAAATGACTTGCTAGCACGATGACACGATCTCATCACAATTCAAAATGTCTGAAGAGTGAAGACAACAAGGAAAAGCAAACCTTATAAAGTAGCGTGTACAATGTTGACCGAAGGTTAGGTGAGTTGTCAGTGAGAACTTTTCTTGCAATCCATGGGTATGAACTGCTCAAGACTTTGTAGTTGGGATTGAAGCTGATTGCAATGCCTTCCAAGACAGCAAGACTGAAAAATCACATGGAAAGCCTCTCAAATGTAACACGCGGATCATTTATAAACCAAGCGGTGTAAATATATATAAAAAACTGCATTCTGCCTTTTTGGAAGCAGTTTGCTAGTTTCCTGTCCATTATAAAATGTATTGACTAATAGCATTATTGAAGTACCTTCGGATTACAAGAGAGAAGTATGAAGGTATCTGGAACTTGAATTTATACCTGAAACAAGGTTAGCTCTAGTTAATGAAACAAACTTATCGAGGGTTTGCACTACATTCCTTTTTGCATAAACTAAGATCAGTACATTGTTTGCCCAAGATTCCCTGACAGATCTCCAAAGCTTATATTTTGAACTCCTTTGTTAACTGCACTTTCAAATACACCTGAAATGGCAAACACAGAATAAAGAGTGATATGCAAGATGGGCATGTCTTAAAATTAATTGCATTTCTTAATATTAGAGTGACATTCGTCTGAAGCTGGAGTACCTGTCAATGCCTTTGTCACTTCATCTTTCTGAGCAGTTGCAGGAAGCAAACTAAAAGAGATTTAAAGGCAGGTCAGATCTACTTAGTTATGGTGATATCCAGCAAGAAAAAAGGAAGTTATTTCTGACAACTGGCATCCATCTGCATGCACAAAATTTCGTAAGCTTAGTGATATCAGTGTTTTTCTTACCCAAGAGTAACAAAATCTTTTGCTAAACCATCAAAATCCCGGTTAACAAGATGTAGACAAGCTTCAATAAATCCATCACGGAGTTCTTGTCGGAATTCTCCCATCATTCCAAAATCTGCATAATGAATAGAGTTTAGAGTATTTGAATTAGCTAGACATATGGCTTCATGTAATTGATTGTGAAGCAAGGAAGCAAATTAGGGACCCGATGGTAACTAAGATTTTAAAGTGGGTAAGCTATGTAGGAATAGTACAGCAAAACAATTACCTAAGTATGCTAGCTTCCCATCAACTGTGCGTAGAAGATTTCCAGGATGTGGGTCTGCATGATAAAATCCATATTCCAAAAGCTGGGAAAGTGAACAGTATACTCCAACCTACAATGTAGCAAATCCCAGCAGATCTAATTCGTAAGAGTGTTTCCAATATTTACTTGATTTACTCGAGTCCTGATTTGCGCTGCTTTACCTCAACCAGATATTGATCTCTAACTTCAGACAACCTTTCCCCCTACAAGGTCACACTACAGTAAGTCAATAAGTAGTTATTTTTGCAACATTGTGCATGTTTGGTTGCTAACAAGTGAATAAAATCATAGACTGCACCTCAACCCATTCCATGATAAGGACTCGTCTTCTCGTCTGCTCCAGATACATTTCTGGAACCATCACATCTCTAAGTTTCCCATATAATTCCCTGATACAGAAAGGAAGGTACAGGGTTAATATTTGATGCTATAATACAAATATCAAGCTTGTATATTGTTCTTGCCACAAAAACAAAGAATTTGCAAAACCTCTGAAATATGAGAGAATCCTCAGTTCTTAATTATCCACCTTCAGAATATATCTCCATACTCTTAAACATAGTTTCCATGTGCTAAGTTGCAAATGTAATTCTAAGATCAGTTGTCCTTCACAAATTTGGGTATAACAAAGTACACACATTTTTTTATATTCTAGTGGAATGGTCAGAGTATTTGAACAAAATCCTAGTTAGTGGGTGTTCTGGAGGCAACTAGCCGGTTTGGTGATTGCAAGGGCTTAGATAACAGATGACCATATGATATGTCCGTAAACTTATAAAATGGTTTGAACTGCAACTCCACCCAAATTACTTGTGCTCAATTATCTATGTTGATTGTTTTTCCGAAATATTGACCGACATAGTGATAATATTAGATGGAGTAATTAAACAAGATTTTGGCTTGTAAATGAAGAAGCAAATGAACAAGTAACTGAAAATATTGACTGAAATAGTGATCATATTGGATGAAGTAATTGAACAAGATTTTGGCCTGTAAATGAAGAATGCAACCTGAACTTAAGTCCATTTCTCGCTTCTTCTCTATAATCCATCTCCTGCATCAAATGCGATTTACCTGTATTCAATGTGAAGCTCTAAGAATATGCTCATAACTTTCTAAAAAAATATCAAGATTTGCTAATATAGTTTTGCAAGTGACAGAAGCTGACTTGCTAATATAACTGTCCAGAATGCTTGGAACTTTAGCTAAAATGTTTTGCTTGCTTCCTCTCTGAAGTCTGATCCACAACCTAATTTGGATGATGCTTCCATAATAATTTTCTAGCTAGCTTTTATCTTCTATAAATAGTCCACTGAAAAAATGCTTAAAAGAATACTTCTGAATGACTCTAACTGACAGTTACTTTCCTACCTCTACCTGACCTAATCTTATGCCAACACCTTCATACACATTATCGCCAAATTGAGTACTTCATATATGACATGAGTAGAAGTAATCAAGTAAAAGAACAATAAGTACATACATAAATTTACCAAAAGATACTATATGAGCATGCATAGAAAAGTTACCCGAAATAAACTTGACGCCCATTCATCAAGGACAGCCTGCACGTAAGGTAACAAATATATACGATCACAAAATAATAAAATATAAATATGACCAGAAAAAGGCTAGAAAATAGGACAGTAGAAAATTTATTTAAAGAGGAGAACTCTCTCTTCTTTTTCCATTTGCTTGGCTTTGTATCTTTAAAAGAGGAAAACTGGAAAGCATATAGGAGTCTGGCCTTACCTGAAGGTCTGTGTTGAACTTGCCAACCTTCCTGGCAACACCAGCGAGGAACCTCAAGATATAGATATCCAAGGAAATTACGGCTTGGACTCCAGGCCTTTGTACTTTTACGGCAACTAACTTCCCATTGGAACGTAACCTAGCCTGGTAAACCTGCAACAGTAAGAATATAACATGTCATATCATCCAAAATGAGAACAACTGACAGATGGCCATACACTCGAGGAAGTTCATGGTTAATGGGTACGGATCTGAAACATCGTGAAGTTCTGAGACTCTCATGGTCCCCATCCTACTAGTTTGTTCATTTTCCTATTAGCTGCTTCCAACCTGCTAATCTATGAAAGTAGGTCCTCGTAATTACTTTAGGGAGGTGTATAGGCATACAGAACACTAAGTTGCATATCAGATTTCGTGCTTGAAATTTCAAAAATAAACAAGGGGGACAGTTATCATGCAGCTGAACTCAACTATATAAGCAAAACCGACTGGAAACAGTCATGGGCCATTGCTCTGATTCTGTAGCTAAAATTACGAAGGTCCGGTTATTAAGTCGCGAGAGAAGGCAATTGAATCCTTGATTCATTACAAAATGATAGAAAACAGACCTGCCCAAGAGATGCAGCAGCAACAGGCACTGGTGACATTTCAGAGAAAATCATGTCGAGTGGCATCTGAAGCTCCTTTTCTATAATATTGAAAGCAAGCTCAGTGGAAAATGGTGCTATGCGGTCTTGAAGTAGTGAAAGTTCATCGAGGTATGCAGGAGGAATCACATCCTGCAGCAAATGAAACAAAGGTAGTCACATCCATGCCCCGTCAGCCAACAATGATTTGAAAGGGGATAACTAAGCGCCTTCTCTACTGTTTAAATCAGTGCTGCTGTCTGAAGATGGTGCACAGATAGTCATCATTTGACAGTTCACGACATGCCATTCACCAAACAAGTAAAATTCGAGGTCGAATCACAACTGACGAAGATGCAACGACTAGTTGGCTGGTGAAGCTCACCGGCCGTGAGGAAACTGCTTGTGCGATCTTCACAAATGCCTGTCATGAAAAGAGCAGCAAGGCGTTAATCACCATCGCCTACACATGGACGAGGGCATGCACAAGCATGCGTTCGAAGAGGAAGCATACCGGGCCAAGCTCCAGTAGAATCCTCCTGAGCTGAGCAGCCCTGACCTGCATTTACATCACCAAAGTCATCCCGTGAACCAAACAGCAGCAAGGAATTTAATCAAACAGTGGCCGTGCGCGTGACCAAAAGCGACCGGTCGTGACGCGAGGCGGGGCGTACGCGTACGCGTACCTCGAACATGTCGTCGGCGCGGTCGTTGAGGCTGTCGAGGTAGCGCAGCGCGAACCAGCGGCCGAAGGAGGTCCCGATCTGCAGCGAGCGGCGGAGCACGAGGAGCGGGCGGCGGCCGTACACTCTGGCGATGCCGGGGATGTCGTACGCGGTGGGGAGGTCCCCCTCGGTCGCCAGCCCCTCCTCGAACAGGTACCCCGAGCACCTGGTGAAGGCGTCCTCCTCCGAGACACCACCGGCGCCGTAGGCGGAGGCGGCGCGAGGACGCGGCGGGCGCCTCCGAGGCCGCGGCCCCAGGGCCGCGGGCCTGGCCCGCAGGGCCGGGGCAGGGAGCGTGAGCGGGAGCGGGCGGAGGAGAAGCATCCGGAGGCGCGGAGGGAGGGCTCGCCGGGGGTTCGTCGGGGACGGGAGACCGGACTGCCGAGCCCGAGAAAGATTGGGCGCCAAGGAGAGGAGGGAGTGGTTTCCAACGGCCGTGGTTTATTTGCGGCGCAGGATTTTCCGGGGACGGGGGACGGCATTTCCAAACGTGCGGCCCGGATCTGCCGCTGGACGCCGCGCGGGGAAGATCGTGCGGCGCACGGCGCGACACGCCGACGCCGATCAAAAGATCGAACGGGAGAAAACTGCGAGACGTGGCGGGTGCCGGGCTCTGGATTCTGAAGCTGTGTTATCCGCTTCGCTTGGCGGTCGGCAGCGGCAGAAGAAAGAAGAGAGGCATGGCGATCGTGGCAGGTCTCGTCGCGCCCGCCGCGAAACCTCTCGGGCTCTCCGGCGCGGGGCGGCAGCACCGGCGTGGCTGGCGCGTCGCGGTGGCGTCCTCCTCGGCGGCGGCGTCCGGGGTGGACCTCAAGGCGCTCGGGGCCGCCATCGATAAGGTGAATGAGACACGCCTGCAGTTGCTGCTGAACCCGTAGGAAAGCAAGCTGAGCAGAACCGAGCTGACGATGGGTTTTGCGTGGGCGGTGCAGAAGGACGGCGACGAGGCCAGGCAGGCGCTGGACCAGCTCAAGGAGCTCGGCTGGGCGAAGCGGTGGAGCTCGCAGCCCTACATGTCCCGCCGCACGGTCAGTCGCCGCCACGCGCCACTCCTTGCATCTAACATTTGGAATTCGCGCTTTGCGAGTATGTCATAGTGTTCGATACTTGGATCAATGTGGTGTGTGGTGCTCCAACTGATGAACCTTGCTTGTTTTCTGAACTGTGTGTGAGCAGACGTCTCTGAGGGAGCTCACCAACCTCGGGATCAAGAACGCCGAGAACCTCGCGATCCCGAGCGTTAGAAACGATGTAAGGCCTGCTCCACAACTGAAAGATTATTTGTGATCCCAAGGTGCAAGGGAGCATGATGTTCACTTGTGGAAATATTGGCACTTCAGATTTCAGATGCAGAATATTGGCATCGTCAGAGCTAAATTACATTGCATTGTTCAGAATGTAGCCCTGCATTTGATTTGCTCTGATCATGCATGCAGGCAGCGTTTCTGTTCACGGTCGTCGGCACCACCGGATTCCTGGCCGTCCTTGCAGGCCAGCTCCCCGGGGTACTACTTCCTTCCTGCCTCCCTTTTCCATAAGTACTGAAACAGTCCACTGAACCATTGAGTTCTCTGCAAAAGTTTGTCATGTTATGTTCCATCTGAGCTTAATAGATTGCAACAGATCGTCTGAACTTCAGGAAATTGTTTTTCTCAGGATTGGGGCTTCTTCGTTCCCTACTTGACCGGAAGCATTTCCTTGGTAGTACTAGCCATCGGAAGTATATCCCCAGGGTATGTTTGAATGTTTCATCAGAGTACTAATTTGCATGCTCAGAGAGAAAAACAGAGCTAATGTTGCAACTATCACCGCAGTCTTCTGCAGGTTGCAATTGGTTCTTTTTCTGCAGTTTTCCCTGACTACCAAGAGAGAATTGCTAGGCATGAAGCTGCTCATTTTTTGGGTAGGTGCTCTCTCTTTCTCTGCAGCAACAGTGAATGTGCAGCTAGGAACTTGCTAACTGTAAAGCTCTCCTTGTGTCTGCAGCCATGAACTTACTGACTATAATGCTCTCCTTGTGAATCAGTTGCCTATTTGACTGGGCTACCTATTCTGGGGTACTCTTTGGACATTGGGAAGGAGCATGTTAATCTCGTTGATGATCAGTTACAGAAGCTGCTATACAGCGGTCAGCTTGATCAAAAGGAAGTGGACAGGTAACTCTTGAGTTAAACTACTGAATGGCATGTGTAATTTTTGTGTAATATGATGAGAGATATGAGAGGCTACTGACTGACATGTATATTCTGTCACCAGGTTAGCTGTGATCTCCATGGCCGGGCTGGCTGCTGAAGGTCTGCAGTACGACAAGGTCGTCGGCCAATCAGCCGACCTCTTCACCCTTCAGGTGATCTCTACTGCTGATCCATCAGCTCCTTTTGGCCTCAGCATTTCCACTGATGCCTCCTGAAGATTTCACCTGAAGAATTCATCCCTGCCTGCCTATCTGCATTGCAGAGGTTCTTGAACAGGACTAAGCCGCCGCTGGGCAAAGCACAGCAGCAGAACCTTACGAGATGGGCGGTGAGTTGTAGTATCAGTTATTACTTATTACCCATCGTCTTGCTCTGAAGCGAAGTCGCAGAAGAGAAAACCTGCTGCGTACAAACATTTTGGGATTGATGCGACGAATTGTGTTTGGCTTTTTGCAGGTGCTGATTGCCGCCTCGCTTCTGAAGAACAACAAGGCGGCGCACGACGCCCTGGTGTCCGCCATGTCGCAGAAGGCCACCGTGCTCGGGTGCATCGAGGCGATAGAGAACGCCTCCTGATCACGGTGTGATGAACCTGGGTGCCCTAACATGGTTGAGGTAGCTATATATTGTTGAAAAGAGGGAAAGATATATATCTAATCAAGCACGGGAAGAAACGGTGTTCTTTTTTACTTGTGTGTATGTCTGTCTGAAACACAATTTTCTGTGCCTCGCTGTTTAGCAGTAGTTGACTGAGGCGTCCCTCGACAGTCAACATGCTCGCTGTTGGCTGTTCTAAAAAAAAAGAAGAAGAAAAAAAACAATGTTGTTGTCTGCTGAAGGCTGACTGAACTTTGTACAGATATAGAGAACCGTAAGCGGAAGACAAAAAACAAAAAAGAAACTTTGTGAAAACCAAATGCGCGCACTGGAAGTCGAGGGTACAATACAATTTTGTTGTTCAGACCTATTGATTGATTGCATTTTTGTTTGCACTCACAGTATTCAGTACTCTTCCTAGCCACAGATGATGCAACTCGAGGGTCTCGAAAAAGGAAGAAACAGACGCGGTAACTGAAACGACACTCAAATATAAATGACGATGATGAAACATCACATGATAATAGTGCAGATGATTTCTTATACATTTAACATATTCCCAGGATGCAATACGTGATTCGAGTTTTACATTATTCAGTAGTTCTATGTACTAAGGTTACATCTAAAACTTAAGGAGGTAACCCGCAACAAACGCCTTTCGTAGTTGACGGAAACGTCTCCTTTCACTGAAAGATACATCGTCGAAAGGCCTGAAATAAATCTGGAAAATGCGAGCAACAGTGTCAAGTCTAGGACTTGAATCCTGTTGCGATGGGGATACCACTATCATCTTAACCATCTAACCACAGATTGATTTGCAATAGTCCTGGATATTATCTATTGCATTGTTGTGATTTAAAATATATAGAGCGTGCATGTGGGCATGGGCCACTGGCAAACTACCACCAACCCGCACCCAACAGACCAAGCAGTAGCGGAAGATGTAATTTGATGTTAAATTGCTAGGCATTCCATGAAATCTAAAATTATCTAGGCACTGCACGAAATACTGTAGAGACCCCTGACAATTTATTTGCAAGATAGATACGCTCTAACACGCTCTAGAAAGTTTTGTAGATCAATAATGATCCTATGGAAAAGGATACACACACATACACAAGGGTTATAATATTGGTTTGTTGTGTTTTAGTTGAAACGCATTGTGATAACAGACTCTTTAAACATTCTAAATTAAAAGAAAAGAAATGGGACAACAACAAATTGCAGTTTAGCGCTATAAATTATATTTATAGGATAAATATTAGAGAACATAACACATATATAGCTACATGCATGAGCGTGTTTACATTGTTCATTCTATTTGTTATATCCAAAAAAATAAGTATTAAAGACATATCAAATGATGTACATCGATGGAAATAACACATCTTTAACTAGGTGAGTTATTATGAAATAAAAAAGTTCAGTATAAATAGGTGTTTAGCCTATAATGATTAGTCTGATCTTCCCAACGTCTTGGGCTCTATCGCATAATCTTGACAGTAATCTTGTTTCTAATAAGACCTGTTTGTTTTATAGTATCATTATCGCGTAATCTAATTACAAAATGTGAGGAGGGTCATCTACCTAATAGTTTTACTTGTATGTTATTTACATGAGAAAGACCAGTTTAACATACAAATGTTAGGACCAAATGAAACATAGATTGAATAAACAACTAATTTTTTTTAAATAATACATTTTTTATTAATTTTCATAAATATTACGCTGGATAAAAAAATTCAAAAATAATACACCGTCGGCCCGCTGCAGGAGACTGGGCCTAGTCGGCCCACAGCAGGCCGATTGAATTCCAGTCGGCCTAGGCCAGCTGTCGGCCCACTGTGGGCTGATTGGGTCCTGTCGGCCCATTGTGGGCCGACTGGAGCTAATTGGCTCGTTGTGGCCTAATTATTTTTGCAAAAAAAGTAGGCATAAAAAATATATGTTTAAAAAAATGTTAATCATGTAATTAAAAAATGTCAAACGTGTATAAAAAATGTTCCTGATGTATACAAAAAATATACAATATATATGCAAAAAAGTTGACATAAATAATATGTTTTAAAAAGTGTTAAGCATGTATTTAAAAATTGTTAAATGTGTGTATAAAAAATGTTCCTTATTTATACAAAAAATATAGAATGTGTATGAAAAAAGTTGACACCAAAAAAATATGTTTGAAAAGTTGACATTTTTTCAAATACATGATTAAAAATTGTTAAATGTGTGTATAAAAAATGTTCCTTATCTATACAAAAAATATAGAATGTGTATCACAAAAAGTTGACACCAAAAAAATATGTTTGAAAAAAATGTTTTAGTTCCATAAAAAAAGAGCAACCAATCATACTTAGGTCCGTGATGCTCCCATACCGGATCCGGAGCTGGAACATCTTTTTATACACGTTTAACCTTTCATTCCAATACATTAAACATTTTTGTGTACTCGTTGAACATTTTATCAAATACATGATTAACATTTTTTTCAAACATATTTTTTTGGTGTCAACATTTTTTCATACACATTCTATATTTTTTGTATAGATAAGCAACATTTTTATACACACATTTAACAATTTTTAAATACATGATTAACACTTTTTAAAACATATTTTTAGTCAACTTTTTTGCATATATATTGTACATTTTTTGAATACATCAGGAAAATTTTTTTATACGCGTTTAACATTTTTTTAAATACATGATTAACATTTTTTAAACATATATTTTTTATGCCTACTTTTTTTGCAAAAACAATTAGCCCACAGCGAGCCAATTAGCTCCAGTCAGCCCACAGTGGGCCGACAGGACCCAATCAGCCCACAGTGGGCCGACAGGGGCCAGTCGGTCAGGTGTAGGCCGATTGGAATCCAATCGGCCTGCAGCGGGCCGACGGTGTATTATTTTTAAAAAAAATTTACCCAACGTAATATTTATGAAAATTAATAAAAAATGTATTATTTAAAAAATAGCGAATAAACAACTAATATATGCACCGTGCTACACATTAGGGCCCATTCTATATACTAAAATAAAATAGAAACAATTATTTTATCTCAATGGAACAACCACCATTATTCTTATTCGTTTTGATCTTCCATTTTCTTATTATTTTGCAATGGGTGCATGCAGATTGATGCGACACCATCTTCAGGTAAAAAGGTGTATGAGGGAAGGCCTGATCTTCACGACATAGAATCGTTTAACGGAGGGGACAACTAGCTACGAGCAGGCAAGTAAGAAAACAAGAGATTGTGTCCGGGCGAGGAGGATACCAACCGTAGCCTACAATCCAAACATTCATCAATCCACAATCTGCAAAGGTATCCCAGATAATCCCACACAATCACGCTCGAGACGTGGAGCGCGGAATAGATGCAATCGGCAAGGGAAATCATGAACACTAACCCACAACCACACTCAAGTCGTGGAGCATGGATTAGGAGCAACTCCACAAGGGATCACGAGAATAAGGGCCAGAAAGAACTCTCCAAACTCAGGATGAGTCTATTTCTTTGTTCTGAAATCTCAAATGCCAAAAGTCGTCTCGCAAGAAGAGCACTAGCCTATTTATACTAGGGACAACTCCCCTTGGATATGTATGAAAATGAAAGAGTTTTAGAACCAGCTAAGTTGTGAAAAGGATTAACAAATTCTTTAGCCGATGCATGGCTGATTTGCGAAGGTGATAACCCATAAGTGTAGGGAATTAGTTGTAGCATTTTTGATAAATAAGAGTGTCGAACCCAACAAAGAGCTAAAGGTAGAACTAATATTTTCTCAAGTTCTATCGACCACCGATGCAACTCTACACACACTGACGTTTGCCTTACCTAGAACAAGAAATAAAACTACTTTACGAGAATTAGAAGATAGCTTTGCAAGATAGTAAATAATTAGTTGTTGTTTAAATAAAAGTACAATAAAGAAGAGAGTTTTGGATAACAATGAGAAAGGGATTGTACCTAGGCAATTGAATATGACACGATAGTGATACTCATAACACTTATGAGGGACAAACTTAAGCTAACATATTTTCTGTACTTGGATCACATGTTCTTATGATTGGAACTCAGGCAAGCATCCGCAACTAGGAAATATCTTTAAGGTAAAACCTAACCATAGCATTAGGTAAAAAATCCCCTTTGATCCCATATGCAATAGCTCATGAACTCGGGTTTAGGCTTGTAGTTACTCCCACAACCCACTATAAGCAATTCATTAACATATTGCAACACCCTACATCGGGGACCGCACACGCGTGCGCGACACTGCGGGCACCATATGACAGCATCATAATAACATACAACTCATATCAACCATATCATACCATAATTAGCATAGGACAAAAAGAAACTATTCAAACATAATAGAGGTGCAACACATCATTGGATAATAATATATAGCATAGATCATCATGTTCAAGTAGAGATTACAGCAGGGTGAGAGAGGTTACACCGCTGCATGGAGGGGGAGGATTTTGGTTATGACGACAGCAAAGTTGTTGGAGTAGATCGTCGTCACCATGGTTTCCCCGTCGGCGCTTCGGCACCATCGGGGGAGAGAGCTTCCCTCCTTATTCTTGCTTGGCCTCCCCCTAGATAGGGGAAGGGTTCCCCATCTATTCCTTGGCCGCCATGCCTCCCAGTGGGCAGGAGCCCCTCCAAGAGTGGATCTCTC